TAGCTCTGCAATAAGGTATGGTATCTTGTTTGCTATATTTAAATCTCTCTTCAGATGTTACGCATTTCTATAGATCATCTCATTACTTAGGGGAAAAAAAAAAAAAGCATTCTGGGGATCAACAACTTTTGGATTGTTTGTTCCTTTCCGTCACTCAAAAACCTCTGTCTGAGGTCTGCCACAATTTCCAATTGCATCTGTGCCTGTTGGTAGATATCACTTCACTGTAGAAATCACTACTGTCAGACCCCAGGCAAAGAAAATGCTTCTCACAACTGCTGCATCCAGTCTTCAGTTTTGGTCTCATTTCCTGTTGATTTGGGTACTGTCTGATTCTCTTTGCTCTGCTGTTTTCAGTCCTTTGCCTCTACTGTCAAAAGGTGAAATTTTTCTCCTTACCTGGATATTTGATCTGTCTGTCTCTGGCATGTTTGGGTGGAGAATTATGCATTATCTACTCACCGAGTCCTTTCTGAATGTTTTTTTCCTTCCTTAAATATAATAGATTAAATCTGATGGCTTTCCTGCAATGACTGCCAGCAAATGTTTGATCTATAGTTGACATTATGCATAGAATGAGCATTTCATTTGCATTAAGCAGAGCAGACAGTGACATTCTTTTCCCCTTAGCTGTGCTAAAACAGAAATGAAAATAGAATCCTTATATCTCTATCAAGGCATAACTGTGAAAAGACAAAATGTAGACATTAATGATACTATTATGCAGAACAGAAATGTAAAAACTATAATAGCAAATTTTCAACATTGAAGCCTACCTTCTGAAAGAAATGTTTCTATTGCTGGTTAAGCAAAGCTGCATCTTTGAATCTTACAGTCATCTTTAAAAATATTCTTCCTGTTATTTTCCCAGTATGAAAAGCTAATGAAGAAGAGGTTAGCCTTTTAGCCTTTACTGTTTACCTTTACCATGAACTCTTTTTGTCATTCCATAATGCATGAATTTTATGGCTGCAGTGCCAACTGGCAGAGAAATTTCAGAAGTGTCATTGCTGGTTCCGTATTGAGGCATTGTAGATCTGGGGATCTTATTAATGTTTATAAATACTTTAAGTGTGGGAGTCAAAGGGATGTGGCTAACATCTTTTCAGTGGTTTGTGGGGACAGGAGAAGGGGAAATGGCCATAAACTGGAGCATAGGAAGTTCTGCATCAACATGCAAAAGAACTTCTTCACAAAGGGGTGACAGAGCACTGGAAAGGCTGCTCAGAGAGGTTGTGGAGTCTCTTTCTCTGGAGATATTCAAGACCCATCTGTGCAATCTGCTATAGGGAGCTCATCTTGGTGGGGAGGGCTGGGTTAGACTTGATGGTCTCTAGAGGTCCCTTCCAACCCCTACGATTCTGTGATTGTTTTTTTTGCAAAAAGCTGATCATATTTGAAGAGATGATTAATGGTGATCAATATACCCTATAGAGTACATCACACCAACACAGCTCAGCCATCAGAACGCTCCCCTGAATACAGTGATGAGTTAGCACTTGGTTTCTCAGTGATACATGCTGGTTTGTTTAGAAATAGGCAGTAGTACATTAGTTTAAGAACCAATGCATTAGTTCAGCAGAAAGAATTCATATGTGATAGTTCTAAAACTTTCCATTTCAACTTTAGTGGGTGAGTAGTCAAGTTTTCCTCATTAATTTTGCAGTGGTGACATAATAGAATACTTTTATCTTTTTGCCTCAGTGATTTAGCCTCACAAGAAGCACAGGGGTCATAACAGAACACTTTCATTCTTTGCCTCAGCAGGTGCAAGGACATCTTCCTCAGATTTGACATACATTGTTCTAATATTTGCTCATTATGGCCTGATAAGCAATGGAAATTTTCCAAATTGAAGAAAAGCAAGTGAAAGCTAGTCAGTGATTAAGCTCATGGTGGAAAATGGGGGAGAAACAGGTGGGCACTTGACCACCTTAGATACTAGTGAGCATGCCCAGAATGAGTATGTATGCAAAAGTACTGCATATATATGTCTTAACTGTTCAAATGTAGAACCTGAACTCTGAGAGGGTACACTTTTTTGTTTGTCTCACTGGGTGCTGTTGTGAGGAAAAAAGGCACGCCAATTTCTAACACCACACTGGAGTTAGAGAGTTGTCTTCATAGATTTTGGAGGTTGTCAGAGACACAGGAAAAATCATCAGATCCCCGTGTGCTTGATGAGCTCACCATAAGCACTGTGCTGTGGCTCACTGCTTGCAAACTGGCCAGTGAATAAAGGTCTGTCTTTTTCTGGAAAAATACTGTTGTTGTAGGTGCTGGTCGTATTCCCATTACTCTCTGCAGGAAAGGTTGCATGACAAAGGCTGCAATACATGCTTACACCTTCTGTGACTGATGGATACTGATGGCACTTTGATCTCTGGGATAATGTAGAGCACTTTGAAAAAAGAGATTCCAAAAGATAAAGTCATTGACTACAAAACCTTTCCTGTTTCGTTCAGCTGTTTCTTTCAGTTATATAATATATGGAGCTTGACTGATTCTTCTATACTTCAAGTGAAATGGTGCACCATGTCAGGGGGAAATTCTTTACAGAGAAAGTAGTGAGGTACTGGAACAGGCTGCCCAGAGAGGTTGTGGATGCCCCATCCCTGGAGGTGTTCAAGGCCAGATTGGATGGGGCACTGGACAGCCTGGTCTAGCATTAAATGAAGAGGTTGGGGGCCCTGCATGTGGCGGGGGGGTTGGAGATTCATGATCCTTGAGGTCCCTTCCAACCCTGGACATTCTGTGAGAGACTTATCTAAACTTCTGTGAGAGACTAAAGCTCAAGTAAATTAAATTCAGATTTAAAGGACTGGCTTCTGCTCTCACGTCTATGTTAAGCAGGTAATTCTGACAATCAGAGGAGTAACCATAGAATGGAAAAAAAAAAAAAAAAAAAAAAAAACATGCTGAAGAAGAAAAGAATCAGCCAAAATACTGCTGGATGTGTTGATACAGCTGCCAGAAGGCAGTTATATTATTGATTTAAAGGACAGAGTAACAATACTTCTGAATTCATTACCTAATTTGACATTTCTGTTATTTATCTTTGTGTGACCTAGGCGTAACTTTCCCCTAATGGCCATTAAAACTGATGTCATGCATGATGAGTAAGAGACAATCTAACAGAAGATATGCTTCCCACGGTTTATCCTCATCCAATACACGCACACAAAGAACCTTCTTAATTTTTGCTGCTTCCAGAGCAAGCGAGTCTTCTATTAATAAGGCATCATGTAAGTGTGGGACATTTAGCAGCTCTATAGCTTACAAAGATGACTTCCTTTGCTTAGTACAAGTTAAGAAACAGCAGTGTTGCTCCTAATATATATGCAGTTACAAGCAGTGCGTATTTTTAAGAGATTTACCCATCCATTCATCTGTTGAGCCTTTATATCCTATGCATCCCAGCTAATTCTAAAATGTTGCTGGATGGTTTTACAAACTCCTGCAATAGGGACATTTGGAGTAATGGTTACCTAGAGACACATAAGGAATTTCAGCATTAACAGGTGTCTGGGCAACTTCTTCCTGTGATGTAAGAAAAATGCATCCCACACATAGTGGTACCAGTATGTAGGAGCATCATGTGCTGTGGCTTTCTTTCCCAGCATGAGTTTCTCTCTGACATTTTTCCAAGGACCATGTCACCAGACTGTGCCAAGCTTCTGGTCCCATTGCATCAGCTGTGGGAACATTACATACTCCTGCAGAGAGAGTTCCCCAGCTCTGCAGAGGGCACAGCACTGTTTCCTAGCCTCTCAACATCAACACCAAACAGATTATTATTTTATTATAAAATTTGCATGTTCATTTCTCTAACAGATTAGAGAAAAGAAAGACACAAAAAACCCCATGTGTTTTCTTTAGGGTTATGACAATATTATAATCATGGGTTTGCACATTGAAATTGCTTTCCAAAGCATGGCGTATAAACTGGTTTTGGTGCCTAGGAGGCATTTTTGCAGACATTTTTGTACACAAAGAAGTCCTAGTGAATAACAATGATAGGACTTCTGTCAATACAGAAAACAAATCATGTGCCACCATTCTTTTTTAATGCTATGAAAAAGCAGAATAAAGCAAATTGATATTATTTTTTAGACTTAAAATCAAACGTCTCTTTTCAAGTAACTTTCTTAATAATCTAGGAGAGACTGGCCATACAGTGGCATACTGAGCAGTGTTCAGTATTTCAGAGCCTATACTTGTAACACACGTAGAAAAAATATACTGAGACTGCACTTTGCAGTTTGTGTGAGGGAGTAAAATGCAATGTCTTCAAAGTAAATTGTGGATGTGTTAATCATCTTCTTTCCCTGGGCATGAGAGAGCAACAGAAGGTTGGTATAGCTGTTAGTTCTCTTAGTTCTGACCTTTCTTTGGTAAACACACATCATATTGGATTTATAAGCACAAATGGCTTTAGGTCCTCTAGTGCACAAAGGTGTGCTGTGCAGCTCTGGCTTTTTGAATTCACTTGTTATTTATATCATTAAAATCCAATAGGCTAATTCTTGTTACTAACACATTTTATGCCCAGTACAAATAAATATTGCATATAGGCACCATTTTGCAAAGGAAAGTGTAAACATTAAATGCTCAATGTATCAAATTATCATTATAATGATTTAACTTGTTGCTTACTCTCCCTCCATTCCTTGATGTAGCTAATCAGAACTTTCTTTAGGATGGATTTGAGGCACTGTTTTTCATGATAAGATGACATTAATTTGAATATCTTCTAGGGATTAGTGAAGGTTATCTCAGTATTATGAGGAGGCAAGGATACAAATTAAATTACAAGCAGTTCTATTAGTACACAAAATATTCTTTGACACCAAAGTCTATATAGAAGCCAGTAGAAAAGGTGACAGCCAATAGTTAACTGCTGACTAACAACTGTAATGTCTATAGATTTTCTGAAGGAAATCACTTCTAACAAAAGTGCACTAAGATGCAATTTGTTATATATATATATTTTATTCTGGAATCATTGTGCATTAACAGCTGCAAGCATCCATCACTCTGTCATTCAGAATTTGATAGTAAGAGTACAGTTATCTGTTGATTCAATTCAATAAAACTCTATTGATCTAATTCAGATGTCTTGGGAGTTCTATGCTTTAGAGATGTAAGGAAATATTAGCTAATTTGATCCTTAATAGAATACTTGCTGCATTTCTCCATAGTGTAACCATTTCATTACTTCCATTAGAAAAATGAAAAGTGATGATAATGAGAAGGGCTACTCAGTTATAATGATGAAGTGTAACGGCCTTTCATCTTCTGTCATTCTCCTGCAATAGAGGAGAAGAATGGCGGTTTAGCATGCAATAAAACAGCAGGATTTCACCTGTGAACTCAAGGGTATTTCTTACGAAGATCTAGCTTAATCATCATATTCTCTTTATAATACCATGCCATCTTTTTTTAAATCTTTCCACTTCAAATTTTTACCTTAAGCTTACTTTAAAAATGTCAAGAACATATGCAGACTGTAACTACAGTAAATCACTACTGAGGTTCATCATTTTCATGAGATGGTTCTTCACTCATACTCTATCGCAGTGGTGAGGTGTGCTGTGCTAAGTGTGACTCTTCTCTAGGCTCATCTGGAGTGTTAACTGTCATATAGGTTTGCATTATGTTACTGTTGGAGAAAAACTGGGGTATTTTGTTATAAATATTCTGTTGTAAACTTGTTAATGTTTCTTACTATTTGCCTTTTTGTTGTCCCCACTTCACAAATTTCTTCTAGGTATCCTCATTATGAGGTTTTCACTGACATAGTTTTACCTTCTCTGTGCCACATAGGTGCAGTCACATAAATAAGTTTTTCATGAGATCCTAATGTTGTAATAACAATATCCAGTACCTAAATGACTGTTCCAAAGGAAACATGATATCTTGCATTTAGTGCCTTTGGACTTAAACAGTTTGGTGGTAGTATATGTTTTCCAGTAACCATGAGACTTAACATGTGAATAAAAAGGAAGAAAGCATCATGGAGAATAAGCTGTTTTTTAAGGTGTACTTTGGAATGAGGAACTCATTAAAAACTGTAAGAAACAGACAATCTAACAACTTTTCCAGTTGTGCTGCCAAGGTCCTTATGTGTGGCAGGTATCTGACTATAGGCTGGACTCTGCATGCTGTTTTATCTATTTTTTTTTTGTTGTTAAAATTACTTTTTTTTCCCGTCTGCTACATCTTTATGTAGAAAGGCCCACCAGGATGCATTAATAAAACGCTCAGTGATTTAGAAAGGGTATTGTGGTTCTTGCATCTTCTGAAATTCATATATGCTTCGCAATTTGTCTGCATAACTTATATGCCAAAGGAAAGTAATCATAAATCACTTGGATAAATGAAGTAAAGATCTGCTCTATAAAGCAATGATTAATAAAAGTCTTCGCTGGACAGAAGAGGATGAGAAATTAATGAGCTCAGAATCACTGAGTTACTCCATCATTTTCTTATTAACAGTCAGAACTGGAAGATTTGAATTTCTATTGGCTAGGTTTCATCCTTCCTTCCCCTTTCCCCTGTTTTTCACTGTTTCAAGAGTCTCACTCTCTAAGGTTGAGTTCTTCAACACTTTGTCTAATAAATGCTACAAATATTTTGAAACATTTTAAACTATTATATAAGAAAGTGAGAATGAGCTTATCTGAAAAAGGGGGAAATAAGTCATTCAGTTTTAACAGGATTTTACAGTAACATACTCACTTGATCTTTCCTTTGTGCTTTGTATATATCCTTCCTGTTTATATTCAGTGCACTGTAAAATGTAAAAATTACAAAAAGCAAAAAATCATAAGTTACACTGACAGTGTTCACACCAAACATTGTTGTCAAGAGTCTAAATAAGTCTTTGATCATTTCAGATGATTCAGTTAGAATTCCATATTGGAAAGGTATTTCAGTAATAACTTCAGAAGAAGGATTTCTTTTTTTCTTTGTGCAAATGCATGGAACATTTTTTCAGATCTGAACTGGAAATTTTATATCAGATTACTTTGATGCTTCTCAGAGTATTCCTGATTACTGAAGTAATTACTAGTACTAAAACAGGTGGTGGTTTGAATACTGATAGTAAACTTCAACCCTCAAGAAAGAAAATTAGAAATGTTTTTATTTCACATCAGAAGAAATGCATGAGAATAGTCTCTGAAGAAATCTATAAAGTTAATTAAATACCAACAAAGTGAAAGGAAGCAAAATAAATGGTGATTACAAAATTGTTTTTGATCTCACTGACATTTATCCTACCCACTAACAGCTCTACTGCTCTTGACAGCAGTTTGTCCGCCCCTCGATTCTCATTTCAAGGACAAGTGTTGTCAGTGGGGAATGATATTGTGCAGCTCTGTGATACCAAAGTGCAGGGCCGTCCCACGGGAACATCCAGCCATTTCAGGCTTTTAGTGGCCTATGACGACTGCACAGGAAGATCAACCCTGTTTTGGTTAGAGAGCCCCATTCACCACTTATCAGAAAAATGCACACAGATACTCTACATCTACAGTGAAAACTTTTGAGGCAGAAAGCAATTAAATATGAATAAACTGTGATATTTGATAGCAGATAAGAAAACTTCTCTAACTCTCAATTTTTCATTCTACTCTTTTTTTTTTTTTTAAATAGAAACAGCTTACTAAAGAGTTGTCCAAAGAAGGGCAGTGGAGCACACCTCTTAGGGAAGCAGCTGAGGGAATGGGGATTTTTCCATCTGGAGAAGAGGAGGCTCAGGGGAGACCTTATTTCTCTCTACTGAAACTTCAAAAAAAGTTATGGCCAGGTGGGTGTCAGCTTCTTCTCCTTGATAACATTGATAGAAAGAGAGGAAGTGGCCTCAAGGTGAAGCACTGGTACAGGCTACTCAGTGAGATGGTGGAGTCACTGTCCCTGGAGTTGTTAAGAAACTTGTGGATGCAGCACTGGAGGACATGGGTTAGAAAGCAAGGTGGGGGTGTTTTGATGACTGTAGTAGATGATAGTGCTCTTTTCCAACTCTGATCAATAAAAGCATAGACTTGGCCAGTGGCAACCACAATGTACTGTCTTTCAGCAACAGGGAAACCATACATTGTTACATATTCAATAGAATAGAATTGGAAATCCCCAATTTTATGTTTCCTACTCTCTTCTATTCATTCCTACTTTCCTAATATTTTTCCCTGGAGGATCATACTATCATAAGAAGTAAAGAAGTACTGTAGGAATCGGTGACGGAATTGAGTGCACCCTCAGCAAGTTTGCTGATGACACCAAGCTGAGTGGCGTGGTCGACATGGTAGAAGGAAGGGATGCCATTCAGAGGGACCTCGAGAGGCTAGAAAGGTGGGCCCAGGTGAACCTGATGAGGTTCAACACAGCAAAGTGCAGAGTTTTGCACTTGGGCCGGAGGAATCCCAGGCATCCATACAGACTGGAAGGAGCGGTCCTTGAGAGCAGCCCTGTGGAGAAGGACCTGGGGGTCTTGATAGATGAAAAACTTAATATGAGCCAGCAGTGTGTCCTTGTAGCTCAGAAGTCAAATGGTATCCTGGGCTCCATCAAAAGAGGGGAGGTCAGCAGGGACAGGGAGGTGATTGTTTTCCTCTACTCTGCTCTTTGGGGCCCCACCTGGAGTACTGCATCCAAGTGTGGAGCCCCCAGTACAAAAAAGACAGGGAACTGGAACTGTTGGAGAGGGTCCAGAGGAGGGCCACGAAGATGATCAGGGGACTGGAGCACCTCCTCTCTGAATACAGGAGGAGGGAGCTGGGCTTGTTCAGCCTGGAGAAAAGAAGGCTGCGGGGTGACCTCATTGCAGCATTTCAATACATGAAGGGAAGGGAATCAACTCTTTGAAAGGGTAGATAACTGCAGGACTAGGGGAAATGGTTTTAAGTTAAGGGAGGGAATATTTAGGTTGGATGTCAGGGGGAAATTTGTTACAGAGAGAGTGGTGAGGTGCTGGAACAGGCTGCCCAGAGAGGTTGTGGATGCCCCATCCCTGGAGGTGTTCAAGGCCAGATTAGATGGGGCACTGGACAGCCTGGTCTAGCATTAAATGGGGAAGTTGGTGGACCTGCATGTGGCAGGGGGGTTGGAGATTCATGATCCTTGAGGTCCCTTCCAACCCTGGTCATTCTGTGATTCTGTGATCTTAAAGAGATTTTGTGCCTGAAACATCAGATTGGTTCTATGGAGACAGTTTTGTTGGAGTCCTAAGATCCCTTAGGACAGCCTTGTATTGAACTTAAGGACAATTATTAGAAAATGAAACGTGCTTCCTTTTCTAAAATATAGAGATGTGTTTCATATACTGTGAGGAATTGATTCAAAATGCATATGCCTCCAGAAAAAGCAGCAATTTTTCAAGCCACTAACAAATTACTTCATACAGAATGGTTACTATTTTCAAGGACTTGTTCTTTTCCTCCCAGAACAGAGACCAGACAACCATATCACTGAGATGAGTCAGATGGTTTCTGCCTGATTAGTGATTATATCTCCATGGCAAAATACCAGTAGAGAAATACATAAGGTTTTCTTCAAGTAAATGCTGACTAATACCAATAAAAGATTTGCCAAATGATGTAGCATGGGTTTTGGCTACACAAAGACATTTTTGCATACAATCTGACCAAAAGCTCACTCTGATCAGGGAACTTGTACCTGGTTTTTATTTTCAGCTGTACAGGAACATTTAGAAACTTTTTTTTTTTTATTTAATCACAATAAACTAAAGGACTTTAGTTAAGCATTTCATCCATCACTAAGCAAAAGCAGTCTATAAACTTATTGCTCCCTTTAAACACTGTATTCAGTATCTATGAAGTTCTGTAAGAAATTTAACACTTATAACAAGATGCTTTGAAAGTAATCAGTATCATTTACGAGGCCAAAACTCCAGGAAAAGAGCACTTTTCAATTCATTTTAATCTCTGGTATCCTTTTCAATTTTATGTCATTAATTTAGTCTGGAAGTGGTGAACAAGGATACTTCAACTGCCTCTCAAAGTCAGCCATGGCCAAACTATCTCTCTGCTCAAACTATCAAAAAGTCAGGTAGCAATAAAATCCTGGTTTAGAAGTGAAATAAAACCAGAAACTCATTATGCGGATGGCTGTTACCTTCTAACTGTGATAGCCTTGACCTCCATTTTAACCTGCAACCCAAGGGATTGTCTCTTCAGCATCATGCATTTTCCTGAAACATTGCTGAGTTGTGCCTTACAGAGGCTGAACATTTTTGTCAATACTACTCCATAGTGACCTTTACTCTTCTGCAGACAGAATTGCAAACTTCTCTGCACATTTCCAGCAGGCAGGTGCGTGCACCAAACTTTTTTGGTGGCTGCTGATTAGAACACTTCCAGACATGACATATTTTGGACAGCACTATGCAGGCTTTGTCAGCAGCACCAGTTAGATTTCAGCTGTTCGTGCATCCTGGTGACTCAACTTTCTTAGCCACAGTATTGAACCAATTGCTTACACCAAACGTGTTTGCACACTTTTCACAGCCACTATGCATAATTACAGCAGCATGACTTCAGCTATAATAAATGCACCTGACAGTGGCCCATTGACCAAATGATTCAGTGTTATTTACCATTCTATCCACCCACATTATCAAGTTTCCTTCCAGCAACAATGCCGTAGCGTCTTTCTGGTCATGGAGAAAGTCTGATTAGTGTTTGGCCAGCAGCAAGATCACAGTGACATCTTTATAGCAGTAACTGGTAATAAGTTTGCCTGCAGGCAGAAAAGCATTGGTGCAGATAGGAAAAGAGAACGGAAAACAAAGGAACTCCCTAAAGCATACTTAATGAGACCAGTAAAAAAAAAACAGTGTCTGAAGAAACAAGCCTTCATGGCCCATACCCAATCACACATAACAGTGTTAAATGAAGACTAGCGTGACTAACATTACACAACTGCAGAACACAGCGATAACCACTGACACTCACCTTCACCAAAGCTCCCTCAGCAGCCCTTCACAATCTGCCAGAGCATTTCCTGTGTCTTTCTTAGCATAACGATCACCAGTGTTAACCTGAAAACACAAAGTGAAAGGCAAACCAATTAGCAGCATTCCCTTACTCCTACAGGCTATTTGCTCCCTGGGGGTGTGGTTACTTAATGAGGTGACTGTCCTCATAACCAGTTGCTGTAGTTGATGCCTTCGGAAGAAGTGTTTGCATTCTTTGATTAAATGAAGCAGATCCTGTGAAAACACAAGGATCTCCTAAGATGATCTCTTCGTAGTGGCGGTTTGGCAGCATACAGAAGCATGACTGTGTTATTTTGATTATTTCAGAACTCAGCTCAGATGTTTCTGCTTTGTTTTTTTTTTTTTTTCCAGAAAAGATAACTTTTGAGAAAGTTTTACTGCATAGATATAATTACAGTATGCTGCCTGAGCTTAGCACACGAAGACATGCTTCTGCCATCATCCACACAAATATTTCTTAATTAAAATAGTCTCTATTTTCCTCTTCAGCTCTTGTCTTTGGGCCAGTTTATTCATCATCCACCATGGAAATAACATACTTGAAAGAAAAGTGACACCTTCACAAGAGGTACTGGCATTTCAATTTCTTTTCTCACAATATGTGATAAATGTGCAACAACAAAAGATGCACAATACAAAAACGCAAGAATTTTCACTGAGTAATTACATAGTGAAGTTTTCCTTGAAAAGCAGGATGTTTGAATTCAAGAACTGCTACCATACTATTTGAGACATTTTATTCATTTATAACAAGATCTAGCCAGTAACTGCTTTTTCAGCTCACAACTTCTGAAAAGAAAATAATTTTGGTTTAGCTTAATCCAAGTTTGAATATTTTGTTTTCTCAACAAATTAAAATTTGCCAAGAACAGTCTCTGTGTGAAATGAATCTGTTCTTCCCATTAAAAAAAAATAATTTGAAGGACAGAAAAGGAACGTGACTGGATGTGAAGTCTAGGCTCACCAAACCTGAATACAAGAATTAGTAGATGTATAATCAATAAGCATACAGAGAAGATAAACTGGAAAGATTATCACATTAGAGAAGGATAATCAGAAATGAATGGAAAGCTTACCTACATCCTGGGCTTACAGAAAAAGACTCCAAGAGGAACAATCTCCAGAAAGAGACCCTTTCTCAGGGGCAGTCAGCCCTTAAATGGGGTCTTGGAGAGCTGCAGCCAGTCTCCACCCCTTCCAGTCACACACTGAATTGCCTTCACCTGTTCTCCCATGGCTGATCAGTCCTTGCCTCAGGTGATCAATCAGTGGTTCAGGTTGTGATTCAATAGTTCCCATACACTAGGATGCAGTTTTTAACAGCTGGTTCATCTTTATCCTACTTGGAGACTGCTTTGTCTTAGGTTGTTTGCATTCCTGTGTGTTCACATCTTGTATATATTTCACGTGTATTTGAGCCAAATATCCTATAGATAAAATTAAAGCCAGAATGTTCAAGTAGGTTCTCGTAGTCTTTTGCAAAATTAATACATCCTCCAACTGCAAGAGCTTGGCTTTCCATTTATGATATCTATGGGAAGAAATCATATTGCTCTGTCATTTTAGTTGATCTTTATTAAGAGAGAGAGAAACTGGATTCGGCATCTCTGACTCAGTCTTTCAAAGCCGAAGCCTTTTAGAGCTGAACCTACTGAGAAAAAAATAAAATAAAAAAGGAATAAGAATGATATCCATAGCAACTGAAGAGGGAAATATCCGATAACTATTTTTCTGTAAGAATATGATACTTTTGAAATGTACAAAGCAATAGGAAAGATGAGTAGGATCTAAAAAAGATCAGTCTTCCATCAAAGGAATTTATTCACAACAAAAGAGAAGGCAGATACTCAGTAATCGATACAGTTGGGTTTTTTTTCTGCAATGCTGAGATACTGATATGCCAGGAAATTGTTATCAAACTGCAATTATTTCCACATTAAAACTCCTTTATGATCCTTGTCCTTCAGTTAAATTATAAGAGCATGTAGGTTCTTGACAGCGTATGCTCCTGCACTTGCAGAACATTTGCAGAATGCTGTCAACAACTGAAGGAAAAGCATATACTTTGCAGCTTTCTGATCAAATGCATAAGAGAAATTTCTCTCTAAATCATAAAGTTGCTCAGAGTTTCTGAAGTGATGATCCAAACCCCCCTGTACCCTACAGAGTGTTGAGAAGATGTATGTAGAGCTTCCCTCTTTCTTTCCCTGTACTCTTCCCCTGGAGCGAAATCCATATGGTGAGAAGTGATTCTTGATGTTCTGCTCAGGCCATGGTCAGGATAACTGGGGGCCATAACTGATATCTGCACCAGGGAGTGAGTCCACACACTGCTGTATGACTGTAGAAACACGTTCTAGAAATGTTAGACAGTTAGCAAACAAGTCCTTTGTTCTCTATCTAATTTAGACACTTCTCGACTTCCTGGCTAAGGAGAACGTGTTCCTATCCAACAAGGCGGTTCCTATCCTAAATTGCCTGTAATTTGGACAAAAGGCTAGAGATTGATGGTACGAACTAATAGATTAGAGCAGAAGTCAAGCAAGGAGAAAAGTTCAGTTCCTGTCTTCTTCCAGGAGGTACTTCAATGACCAACTCTGCTAAGGATTTATTTAGTTAGTTAGTTTTTTAAACTGATTTGTTCAGACTCAAAGGTAGAGAGAGAGAAGGGAGGCAGGTTCTGCCCGTGCAAAGGAATAACTGGTACTGAACGGGCTGCTCTCTACCAAGACAGAATGCAGGCAATAAAGGGAAGATTTTGCCCTTTGCTTTCTGGTAACTAGTTTGTGCCAGCATTGCAATGTTAGATCAGAATGTGTACTTGTTCTCAAATACATGCTCATGGAAACATGAACATTTACACTTACCCCAGAAGACCAGCCGTCTTTTAGAGCTTCTGTGTCCTTTTGGCAATTATTACTGGCTGTTAATATTGGAAATTAAAATACTAATGTTTAAAATCTCTCTCTTTTTTTTTTTTTTTTTTTTTTACCATCAGTGATGCATTTGCTGAGGAGACATTTTGCAGTGAGTAACTGGAAGTCTTTTAGACTTTGCTTCCTTCCCATAGATGCTCAAAATTGTAGCAAACAAGACAGAGCAAGTTAACTTTATGAGAGCAGCTGAATTTCCACCCCCAGTGGTAGTTCTTAGATTCTGTTATAATCCAATAGATTTTAACATCTCACACATAATTTCTCATTCATAGCTGAATGGAGTTAAAGCCCAAGACAAGTTAGCAATTATCCTTGCCCTCTATCCATCATTTTTATTGAAATTATTTACTCCAAAAATATTTTGTATGCCACAGTTTTCAGTTATGCACTTAATGTCAAATGAATAGAAAATATTTCCAGACCCCAAAAATTTATTCTGAAGGCAACCTGATCACTAACAACTTGTCATTAGTTTACATGCTGTCATCTGCTTTTAATGCAATAAATTTCAGGAGTCACATGTTTATAAGGTTATGGCCAAATAACAGCCTGTGCTGTTCATAGTCACAGATGAGGAGCACATACCCAGAGAATGCTATGCTTCTTAGGGCAAAGCAGTTTCAAAGTCACTTGGCAGAAAGTTGGTTAAGCTGTCCAGAATAAATAAACCACGGGATTAATTTGCTACAGTGTGATGGCTTGGTTGCATTTAAAGATTTCTTCTCATAGATTCTTTCATTAGCCTGAGGAATGAGGATCTGTAGGGATCTAAGTGTAGTCATGAAGTCAAAGCACTCAAAGCCAGACCTGCACTGGAGAAAAGTCAAATCTCTCTTCACAAAAATCTATTTACTTTTGATATGAGAATCTTTTATTTGGGAAAAAAAAAATGTGAACAACGACAAAAAAACTGCCACGACATGACATTTCCTCATCTTTTCTTCTCTTTCCTCCTTTATTTTGTTTCTGATTCAACATTGTTACTTCTGCTGCAGTTTGTGGGCTGGAATGGCAAAAGAAACAAAGAGAGATCAGTTTTCTCTTCCCTTTTTCTCCGGGAACTCAGCAGTAGTTTCAAACGAGGTTCAGTGATTCGGTGACATAAGGACTGCGAATGATCACTGCAGGCTGTCACACTGGTAATATCTTTGTGGTTCCAGACCCTGCTGTGCGGAGATCTGTGTAGACTTTCTGCAGCAGTCCTCGAACACCTGCAAATTTCTCTTTTCAATAGTAATTCCTGCTCTGTAGGATCCATAGTGATGGTAGGATCAGCTTGGCTTGCCCTACAAGTCAAGCAGCCTGTAAAAAGCTTTGAGAGGTCACAGCAAGCCCTAAGGAGATTAATTACGTATCATACCCAATATGTATTTTAAATAAAAACAATAAATTTTGTAATGAGCACAAGGGTCAGATGCTACTTTTAGTATCATTCAATATTTTCACTTTGCTTGTTTGTCATAAAGCTTCTTTCTAACCTGTTGTGATAAGGAAGAAAGTTATTTATGACTGTGACTTTCTGAAGTTGGAAACACTTCAATAGCTCAGAGAAAAAGTCAGAAAAACAGTGGGGGAGATGGGCAAGGGAAGTCTGATAAGAATGAAAGAGGGATGAAAGATCACCGTTCTGAGTAGCTGGAAAATGGAAGTGTTGTCTCTCTAACTGGCATTCACCACATGGAAAACAAAGAATGAACATCCTGTCAGGGACCAACCAGAAAACTCTCAGGTCTGCAATTTGGAAGATAATTAGGTCAGAAGCTTCCATCGATTTCCCACTTATACATCCGAAAAACCTCTGTGCCTAATTGGCTACCAAGAAAGTCAAGCATGCCAAGGACTCTGCAGGAAATGTCTCTAATTAGAGTTTTGAAGAAATGTTAGAGTGGTGCTGGGATGCTTCTTTTCTGCAGCAAGCACATCAGTTCATTAAGATAGCCGTATTTCCTCTGGCAAATACTTCTAAACACTTTTAAAATATCAATCCTAGCAACTTCATAAAATATGTCAGTTGAACTTAAAAGTAAACATCACAGTAACAGGCAAATACTGAATATGAACAACGCATAACAAATACAACGGAAACGATTTGTTTTGAAATAATGAT